GTTAGGAGAAGGTGCGGGATTACCAAAACTGTTGTCCAGAGGGCTGAGGAAGGGTTGTTGAGGTGGTTCGGACATGTAGAGAGAATGGAGCGAAACAGAATGACTTCAAGAGTGTATCAGTCTGTAGTGGAAGGAAGGCGGGGTAGGGGTCGACCTAGGAAAGGTTGGAGGGAGGGGGTAAAGGAGGTTTCGTGTGCGAGGGGCTTGGACTTCCAGCAGGCATGCATGAGCATGTTTGATAGGAGTGAATGGAGACAAATGGTTTTTAATACTTGACGTGCTGTTGGAGTGTGAGCAAAGTAACATTTATGAAGGGATTCAGGGAAACCGGCAGGCCGGACTTGAGTCCTGGAGATGGGAAGTACAGTGCCTGCACTCTGAAGGAGGGGTGTTAATGTTGTAGTTTAAAAACTGTAGTGTAAAGCACCCTTCTGGCAAGACAGTGATGGAGTGAATGATGGTGAAAGTTTTTCTTTTTCGGGCCACCCTGCCTTGGTGGGAATCGGCCAGTGTGTTAATAATAAAAAATAAATAATTATTAATAACATGTATGTTATTAAATACCACTGCCTCAACCACTGCCTCAACCACTGCCTCAACCACTGCCTCAACCGCTGCCTCACCCACTGCCTCAACCGCTGCCTCGCCCACTGCCTCACCCACTGCCTCAACCGCTGCCTCACCCATTGCCTCAACCGCTTCTTCAACCACTGCCTCTACTACTCCAGTCGCACTCAATCTACAAGCACCAAACACAATGAATTACGTATTGTGAAATGTTTGGAAGAGCATGGAGACTAATGCTCATTCCAGCATAAACAAAGCCACACTGACGATGTGTCAACCACTCCCTCATATTTTTGTACAATTTCCTTCTTCAATTCTATCGCATTTATTATTATTATTATTATTATTATTATTATTATTATTTATTATTATTACTATTGTTATTATTAGCAGTAGCAGAAATGTTTGATTCTTTGCTGTGTTGAAGAGTAAACACATGATGTCACCGTCCAATACCTGTCCGAATAGCCATTCCAATATGCAGTCATGAATGGGTTTACATTATTTATACTGCAGTTTAATAGCAAATAATGAACAAACAAAACACTCACCACACTGGTGGGAGGGCTGGCTGCCAGTTGCGGGGGTCGGAGGGAGGGTAGTAGGTACTCGCAGGTGGCGGGAAACTTAAATATGATTTGGCGGCTGGGAATTTGGAGGCTGGGAATTTGGTGGTTAGGAATTCGCAAATGTGTGTGAAGCCCGCGAAAGTTGAAAACGCGAATGTTGAGGGAGACCTGTATTTATAGATGCGGTTGTAAAAGAAGTAAATACTAGGGTGTTCAGGAGAGGGGTGGGATTAAATTATGGGGAATCAAGTGCAAAATAGGAATTGACACAGTTACTTTTTGCTGATGATACTGTGCTTATGGGAGATTCTAAAGAAAAATTGCAAAGGTTAGTGGACGAGTTTGGGAGTGCGTGTAAAGGCAGAAAGTTGAAAGTGAACATAGAAAAGAGTAAGGTGATGAGGGTATCAAATGATTTAGATAAAGAAAAATTGGATATCAAATTGGGGAGGAGGAGTATGGAAGAAGTGAATGTTTTCAGATATTTGGGAGTTGACGTGTCAGCGGATGGATTTATGAAGGATGAGGTTATCATAGAATTGATGAAAGAAAAAAGGTGAGTGGTGCATTGAGGTATATGTGAAGACAAGAAACGTTATCTATGGAGGCAAAGAAGGGAATGTATGAAAGTATAGTAGTACCAACACTCTTATATGGGTGTGAAGCTTGGGTTGTGAATGCTGCAGTGAGGAGGCAGTTGGAGACAGTGGAGATGTTCTGTCTAAGGGCAATGTGTAGTGTAAATATTATGCAGAAAATTCGGAGTGTGGAAATTAGGAGGTGTGGAGTTAATAAAAGCATTAATCAGAGGGCTGAAGAGGGGTTGTTGAGGTGGTTTGGCCATTTAGAGAGAATGGATCAAAGTAGAATGACATGGAGAGCGTATAAATCTGTAGGAGAAGGAAGGCGGGGTAGGGGTCGTCCTCAAAAAGGTTGGAGGTAGGGGGTAAAGGTTTTGTGGACGAGGGGCTTGGACTTCCAGCAAGCATGAGCGTGTTAGATAGGAGTGAATGGAGACACATGGTATTTGGGACCTGACGAGCTGTTGGAGTGAGAGCAGGGTAATATTTAGTGAAGGGATTCAGGGAAACCGGTTATTTTTATACAGCTGGACTTGAGTCCTGGAAAGGGGAAGTACAATGCCTGCACTTTAAAGGAGGGGTTTGGGATATTGGCAGTTTGGAGGGATATGTTGTGTATCTTTATACGTATATGCTTCTAAACTGTTGTATTCTGAGCACCTCTGCAAAAACAGTGATTATGTGTGAGTGAGGTGAAAGTGTTGAATGATGATGATAAAAGTATTTTCTTTTTTGGGGATTTTCTTTCTTTTTGGGTCACCCTACCTAGGTGGGAGACGGATGACTTGTTAAAAAAAAAAAAGAAAATAACTTAAACGTGTTATATTAGCAAGTGCTCTAATGTGGACGCTGTTAACAAAGTATGTCTGTACAGAGAAAAGACAATAGCTTCAGTTCCTTGGAATAAAATCACAGGCCTGAAAATTTTAGGACTCTCTTGCCATAAGCTCAAACTCTACACATTCTATGATTTGTTTACAATCGTATTAAGATTTCATGAATCAGATTCAATTCCTTGGACCAGGAGCTTTTCTCTTGGGTAGCTTTAAAATGAGATCAGACAAATATATGCACGAGTAGAAAGGACTGGGTATGATTTGTACCTGAGGTGCTAAAGCAAATTCTTGGGTAACTTTGGGAAAAGGTTGGACAAATATGTGGGTGGGAAGGGGTGGTGTTGACAAGGAGCTGCCTTGTACTGGACAGAAGGTCTGCTGCAGTGTTCCTCCATTCTTATGTTCTTATCAAGAATGCACTTCCCAAAAATGCACATGAGAATGAAAAAAGGAAATCTAGACTACAGAAATAAAAAACAGCTCCATGAAAGGAGAATGACAGGCCCTAACTGGGTGGAATGAAATACAACCTCTCCTCACTTAGCGACGTACTCGTTTACCAATACCTTGGACTTACAACGGGTTCTCTGACCCGTATTTATACCTAAATAATGTATATTAGAGCTGATTTCCTCTATTCTGTTTATTTCAATATACAGAACACTACTGTAAAAACATTTAAAAATATACCAGAAATGTTATAAATGATGCAGAGGTGACATTAAAACAGTATCAAAGATGGTTGACACAAACCCACTACCATTACAGTATGCTCCTCACTTAGAGATGAACTCGTTTAATGACATGGTCTTAGGAATGTAACTCCACCGTTAAGTGAGGGGAGGCTGCATTATACAATATGTAACATTCAGTTAAGAATATAAAACAATGTAGAAAGACCAAAAATAAATTTCTTCTTTCTTTTGCAGTAAGGAGAATAAAGTCACAATATCGTGGCTAGATGTATATGAATGGTATGCAACACTGACAAGATGAAGAATTAGACACATGTGCAACATCAGGGTATCTTAATTTGTAGACGTTTCACCATCCAGTGACTTTATCAATACAAATTCAAGGACATAATGGGAAAACCATAGAACTACTGTTTTTTCTATCATATAAGGCACACGAGTGTTGGCTGCTTGCTGACATGATGTTCCCAAGCAGTTGTAATGTGACGTTAGTGAACAACTGCTTAAGAATAACCCAAAGCCTACCCTTGACCCTGCCACTGAACATGTAAGGCACAGGCTGATTTTCTAACAATGAAATCCTCCGAGGTATCTTCCATCATGTCATTCACATACACAAGCAACAGTACCGGACCTATGACTGACCCTTGTTGAACCCCACTCTACACATGCACCCACTCTGACACCTCGTCTCGTACCAACACACGTTGTTCCCTTCCTGTCAGTTATTCCCTGACATAGAAATTCTGGTTGACTGTTAAATCTTGTGGAAAAGATTGTGGTGTGTTAGGTCTTCAATGAGAAATGTGCAAATGCACTACAGTACTACACAGTACTGTAGTGTGAATGTACCTGTAACATACTGTATTATGGAATAGCATCAAGCTTCTAATTTCAGAGCATGGCCTGAGGTGCTAAACAAGTAAGGGTTTAGCACTTCCCTTGATTATAATAATAATAATAATAATAATAATAATAATTATTGTAGATAGTAGGTTGGTAGACAGTAACCACCCAGGGAGGTACTACCGTACTGCCAAGCGAGTGTAAAACAGAAGCCTGTATTTGTTTTACATGATGGTAGGATTGCTGGTGTCTTTTTTCTGTTTCATAAACATGCAAGATTTCAGGTACATCTTATTACTTCTACTTACACTTAGGTCACACTACACATGCATGTACAAATATATATAAAAGACACACCCCTCTGGGTTTTCTTCTATTTTCTTAATAGTTCTTTTTTAATTTCCTCTTATCTCCATGGGGAAGTAGAACAGTATTCTTCCTCCGTAAGCCATGCATATTGTAAGAGGCGACTAAAATGCTGGGAGCAAGGGGCTAGTGACCCCCTTCTCCTGTATACATTAATAAAGTTAAAAAGAGAAACTTTCATTTTTTGGGAGGGGGGCCACCCCGCCTCAGTGGGATACAACTGGTTTGTTGAAAGAATAATAATAATAATAATAATAATACATGCAATAGTAATAATAATTCATATACTGTACTAAACCTTCCATATACACATCAAAAGAAATTATTATTTCCATAATTCAAACATGCACAATTTCATTTCATAAGCTAAGTGTGTAGTACACATGAATTCTTACAAAGCACAAGAACTCAATCATTAAGTGCTTCCTGACTCACTGTTTCTACTGAGCTCTGCTTAAGAGTATTTTTCATACACTATTTGCAAACACAAAGTCATTCATTCATAGTAGCACAAAATGGTACCAAAATGCAGTAACTAACCTCAGACCTCTGAATGAGGTGAGCCACCTCCTGCTTGGACTTTCCCTTGACATTGACTCCATTAACTCCAGTGATTTCATCTCCACTCTGAAGGGTGCCTTCTCGTGATGCTGCAGTGTTGTCAAACACCTGAGAAGAAAAAACTGGTTGTCATTAAAATGTTAGAGGCTGCATTTTGTTGTTCCTATTAACTTAACACAGGAGGGGCCCCACTTATACAGCAGGTTAGGTTCCAGGTTACTGCTGTAAAGTGAGAATCGCTGTAAAATACAACATAGCTTTTTATCACTTTCAAATACAGTGGAACCTCTACTTATGAGTGCATCCATGTGCGAGTTTTTCCAGATACGAGCAGCTGCTCGGTCGATTTTTTGCTTTCAGACGCGAGCAAAATTTTCAGATGTGAGCGGGCCTTACAGGAGGTTAATTGACACTGGTGAGGGGACTCTTGCTCTTAAGCTAGGAAATTGGATCTCATTGTTTTTTGGACTATCTTATTGAAACTTTGGCAATGTATGATGAAAAGATGCTTCTTAACGTACACCAAAAATGAAAGAAATCGGACCATAAATAACGGAGTTCACTTCTCAGCCATTAGCCTCCCATTAGCAGTATATTTTCATATGGTTTTTATGGTTGTATTTTCGTTTTATTTGGTCTCATGTGATAGAATGGAAGATATACTACAAAAATAAATATGATTTTAATTGGTTTCACGATGAAAAGTACCTTGAAATTGAGCTCAAAATAGCAAAAATGTTCGATTCTTTGGCAACATCAGTGGTAGACATCATGAGGTAGCAGTGGCAGACAACATGAAGCAGCAGTGGCAAAGTATAGCATTAAGAGTGTAGCAATTAAGTGTATTTTATTCATTCTAGTGTATATATCATGTTTCTATGTTATTAATATTGTTTATTTTGTCATATTACATGAATTGTGATAGATAAATAAGCTGTAGAGTTGATATTAGGGAAATTATTAAAGTATTTTCTCAGTTATTTTTATATAGCCGGACTTGTATCCTGGAAATGGGAAGTACAATGCCTGCACTCTAAAGGAGGGGTTCGGGATATTAGCAGTTTGGAGGAATATGTTGTGTATCTTTATACGTATATGCTTCTAAACTGTTGTGTTCTGAGCACCTCTGCAAAAACAGTGATTATGTGTGAGTGAGGTGAAAGTGTTGAATGATGATGAAAGTATTTTCTTTTTGGGGATTTTCTTTCTTTTTGGGTCACCCTGCCTCGGTGGGAGACGGCCGACTTGTTGAAAAAAAACAAAAAAAAATTCTCGTGCCTGGAATTCCACTGGGACGAATTAATTCCATTTCAATTAATTTAAATGAGGAAAACTGACCCTGCAAACGAGCAAATCCAGTTGCGAGCAAGGTCATGGAACTGATTAAACTCGTAAGTAGAGGTTCCACTGTACATATAAAAGCCTGATTACATATTTACACTATCATATATTAAGTGAGCAATAGAACTAGGCCTAAAAAATGCATAGACAGTACACACATTACTTAAAATATTATCATCCTTAACTTATAGTGAGTGGTGACTATATTTATTGTAGGAAGTCGGAATAAATGAGGAATGGATATGTAATTGAAAACTACTGCATTAGCAATATGCTGTAAAATGGGGCCCACCTGTACATGCTAACTTGAGAGAGATAGATAAATCATGTCTAGAATAATAAAAGTCACAATACCATTTCAAAAACATACACAAATAACCCGTACATAGAAGAGAGGACATTTCAGTCTGACTTGGACCACTTACAAAGTCACACTAACGAAAAGGAGAGAAGGAAGGGTATATATAGGCGCTGTTACCAACTTGCCTTTTCTTCTCTTAAATGAAACACTAACATTGTCATGCTATCTTCTGACAAAGGTAATTCGGTAGTTATCCTTGATCGCGAGGATTACCTCCGTAAAGCTGATGTCTTGCTCTCTGACTCATGTACCTACATTCCTTTCATTTCCAACCCTCTTGATTACATAAAGAGAACTTTCAACAAGAAACTAAGGACTCTCTCCAACCTCTGTCCTCCTGACTTTGACCTTGTTCAATGTTTTTGTGTCATCTACCCCTCTCTGCCCTATTTCTATGGCCTTCCTAAAACTCATAAACCTGATATTCCTCTACATCCTATCATATCCTCTAGTCTAGAGGTTCTGTCTCTTAATTCTCTTGCTCCTTGGCTGGCCAGAACCCTCACTCCCTTTCTTGGTACTTTTTCTCCTGCCCACCTCCATCACTCTCAAGGCTTCATCGAATGGGTTCGCTCTCTCCCGACGTGTAAGATACTTAGTCTTGACGTTGAGTCCCTCTTCACCCATGTCCCTCTTGATGATGTCCTTGATTTTCTTAGAAGGCCCATGAAGGGTTTCTTCATCTCCCTATACCTACTGATGTCTTTCTTGATCTTATCTGCCTCTGTGTGGACTCTAATTCCTTTTCTTTCCAAGAGAAATGTTATTCTCAAACCTTCGGTGTCGCTATGGGCTCTCCTCTTTCTCCTGTCCTTGCTAATCTTTACATGGAATACTTCGAGACTGTTCTTCTTCCTACTATCAATGTGCATCCTTCACTCTGGCTCCGCTATGTAGATAACATCTTAGCTCTATGGCCTCGTGACTCTAGTCTCTTCCAACAATTTCTTGATGCTCTTAATAATCTTGCCCCTTCCATTAAGTTTAAAGCTTAATGGGAATCTAATTCTTTGCTTCCTTTCCTTGATGTCCATGTTCACTGCTCAGATACAGGTTTTTGCCTTTTCCATTTACTGCAAGCTTATGCACAGTGGCATATACATTCACCACTTTTCTTATCATGCTTCCTCTGTCAAGAAAAGTGATCTTATCTCCCTCTTTCTCCATGCTCTCCACATTTGTGATCCTCAGTTCCTTCTGTCTTTGTAATACTCACTTGTGCTTTATAGTAACCTGTTTACATTAATGTTTTATCACTGATTTCATCATTGCTTAGTTAATCTTAAGTTAATTTTAAGCCAGCCCGTAATGCTATGCATAGTATAAGTGGCTTTGGCATACTGCTCTTACCTGTATTTGTTGTACCTCTGTATGTGTGCTCAAATTTTTAAATAAATAAATAAATAAATAAATAAATCAGAAATTTCCACTCTTCATAATTTATTTTCCCGTCTTGGCTACTCTTCCCATTTCATAGATTCTGCCTTCTCACGTGCTAAACGTAATTTCTTCTCTCCCAAACTCTCTACTCCTGGGAACTCTTCTGTCCTGTGCCTTCCCTACATTTCCGGTCTTTCTAATCTCAACAACTCTCTCCGTTCCTTAGACATCAAATTTACTTTCCACCAGACTAACACTCTTCGCACTAATCAAGTTCATACCTCTCCTCCCTCTACAGATGCTCCTGGTGTCTACTCTATTTCTTGTTCTTCCTGTCCTCTTCAATACTCTGGAGAAACTTGCCGATCTCTTTCTGACAGACTTAGGGAGCACAAAAGTAGTGTTAGGCTTGCCGACACTAACAATGCTCTTTTCTGTCACGTCAGAGATCACAGTCGTCCTATCGACTGGTCTTCTGGTTGAATCCTCCCTAATATACAACTTTCCTTGTATGAATCTTAGTCCTGGTTTTGTCTCTGTAGATGCCTTCCTTTCTCACTACACTGTAAAATGCTCCAAACTTCAGAACACCCATGACTTAACCTGATTCCTCCTTTTTCTTCTCCCTCTTCCCTTTTCCTCTTTCCTTTTTCTCCTTTAGGCTGTCTTTCTTCTGCCTGTGTATTTCTTCCTTCTTTCTGTATTTATTTATTCCCCCCCCCTCTGTGTTCTTGCTCTTACCCTCTGTAGGCACCTAGCTTCCATGTAGTGCTCCTCTTTCTTAGTACAGTGGACCCCCGGTTAACGATATTTTTTCACTCCAGAAGTATGTTCAGGTGCCAGTACTGACCGAATTTGTTCCCATAAGGAATATTGTGAAGTAGATTAGTCCATTTCAGACCCCCAAACATACACGTACAAACGCACTTACATAAATACACTTACATAATTGGTCGCATTCGGAGGTGATCGTTATGCGGGGGTCCACTGTATTTGATTGGCTCCTCTTCCTTCTTACTACCTTTCCCACTACTACTACTACCACCTCCTGCCTATATACATGTATACCCCTCCTTCTCTCCTTTTCATTAGTGTGACTCTGTAAATGGTCCAAGTCAGACCGAAACATCGTCATGAGCTCCTCTCTATGTGCGGGTTATTTGTGTATCATTCCAGTCATGGTATTGTGCCTTTTTTTGTTACATATCAAGAACAAATCACTAGTAATGCACAATTTGAAGAGGAAAGAACAAAATGGCACAATAGTGTAACTGGAGCAATACACAAATAACCCGCACATAGGAGAGAGAAGCTTACGATGATGTTTCAGTCCGACTTGAACCATTTCTGACTTTGTAAATGGCTCAAGTTGGATGAAAATGTCGCCATAAGCTCCTCTCTTCTATGTGCGGGTTATTTGTGTATTGGAGAGGAAACATTAGAGTCATCCTTGACCATTATCAAGTCTCAAGTGGTAACTTGATAAAGTTCCAGGATGAGTCAAAACATTGCTCGATGTTTCCTCTACAAGCTGTGAGTTAATAATAAATAAATCATGTAGAATAGTACAGAGCAACAAGAAGGAATCCGAATGACACAGTAAAGTTTATTTTCCAAGACATTACCTAAGTTTTATATTATATATTTTAGTGCACAAATAACCAGCACATAGGAGAGAATGGCTTATGATGATACTTTGGTCCAACTTGGACAATTTACAAAGTTACACAGTGTGACTTTGTAAATGGTCTAAGTTAGACTGAAACATTATCACAAGCTTCTCTCTACTATGTGCTGGTTATCTGTGTATATTTTAGTATTACACATGGAAAAGCCCTTAGGGCCAGGGGTTCTTAACTGAGGGTATGGGAACCAAATAATGGTGAATGTGTGATTCAGTCTCTGAACAATTTAAAAAAAAAGTTGGGTTAGATTAGAATACACTTTCACCTGTGTTGCCATCCATATGTAAAGTAAAACCAAGTTACTGACATCTTTTGAATGTCATACTGGTACCTAATAGGAC